ATTTTACTTCTTCAATTATTTTGAGCCGCGTTTCTCGTACATCACCTGATTACCCCGGATTTTTCATCTCGGATCATCTCATCTCAGATCTCATGTCGCGCCTCAACCCGACATCGTGGACTTTCGATATCGATCGATTCCTCAATCCATTTATTCCATCACCACCATGGCAACATATCCCGTATCCCGTCGCATACATCTTTGGATACCGACGCGATAAACCAAAAAGCATTGGGACGATCCTACCAGTAATATGGGCATTTATCGGAATATTCATCGCCCTCTCAGTAATTGAATTGGCGTCTGAGCGCATTCCCTCTTTTGTCGAACGAGGTGCCCCCATTGTTGTTGGATCTTTTGTAAGTTATTTCCAACTATAGCTTTGAAGAATGTCGATGCTAATGATGCAGGGCGCTGGCGCTGTTCTCGAATTCTACGCCATCGAATCTCCCCTCGCCCAACCACGAAACTTCTTCGGCGGCCAACTCATCGCCGCAACAATAGGCGTCAGCATAGGAAAGCTCTTCCTCCTCAGCTCAAACTTCCACTCCATCCAATGGCTCGGCGGCGCCATATCCTGCGCGACCGTAACATCCATAATGGCCTTAACAAAAACCATCCATCCCCCCGCCGGCGCAACCGGTCTCCTCGCCGTCGTCGACAACCGCCTCCTCGATCTCGGCTGGTTCTTCATCCCAGTTGTGTTATTTAACTGCACGATTATGTTTGGTGTCGCGCTGCTGGTTAATAACATCCAGCGTGCGTATCCGGTTTATTGGTGGACACCTGAGGACTTGAGGGGGGCTAAGACGGAAGCGCAGAGGGAAAGTGTCGATGAAGAGAAGGGAAGGGCGACGGAAGAGAGTGATTCAGAGAGGCATGAGAGGCATGATGGGAGGGAGATTATTATGAAGCCTGGTGGGAGCTTGGTGCTTCCGCAGAATTTGTTCCTCATGCAGGAGGAGTTGCAGTTGTTAGAAGAGATTGCCAACCGTTTATAGGTTGCTCAAAAGTGTCGCATTGCATAGCATTCAATTTCAAAACATTCAATCTGGTCTCATTCATACTATCAAAGCATTATCTCGTGACTCGTTGGTCGTTTCTCATAAAGACATGTCATTCCCGTAACGTTCATAGTGCCAAACCAGGACAGCCTCATCTGACCAACACTGTATCCTCAATGCTCAAACACTCTTTCTCCTGCAAAAGGTAATCGGCAATATCGTGTACTTACCCCAATGTCGAGGTGGTCTCTCTTCAATCTCTCAAGTCATTCTCCACTTCATGAGGCTCCGCATTGTGTCTGTACACTTCTCCGTAAAGGGTAACATTGTGGGTATCGCCAACCAATCAAGATGCTCCGGGGGCTTAGTACAAGTCATAAGGGCTCATACATCCACTCTCCTCTTCATCTCGAACGCTGAATCTCTCCACAAACCGCGGCGCACCATGAAATCGGCGCCCTCGCGACACGGGAATGCTATTGCACGGCGCATTCTCACCGTCTCGCAGTCTCTGCTCATGCTGTCGCTGGAGTTCATCCACATGACGCCGATACTGTCGGATCCCAAATTGCTCCTCTTGCATTCGACGGCGACGGAGCATTTGAGCGTGACCAATCGCGCGTCGCTGATTTCCACGGTTGATGAAGAATTGGAGGTTGCGACGGATGCCACGACCGTTGATGCGGCCTCCGAGCGTGTTTCGCTGGGGGCTGGTTCGAGGGGAGGGCGCGCGAGATGGGATGGGTCGTTCCATATCTTCGGGGGATGGCTGGGGAGGGGATAGGTCGGGTGCGGCGTAGAAGCGGAGGATGTCGTAGAGCAAGGGAGATCTCGGGGATCGAGGTACCCCTACGACATCTTGGACAGTTTCTGGAGACGAAGGCTCCGGCTTCACAGCGACGGTTGCTTCATTCTCGGGAATGTCGACACATGCCTTTACAGAGTTGACTGGAGAGGGGCTTTGTGAGCGACGAAAGGGCGGAATGTCGTAGAGACATGGCGATCGAGGTGACTCGGGTGCCGCCAGGGTATCCGGCGACGAAGGCTCAGCCTTAATAACTGGGTTTCTTTCATCCTCAGGAGAGTTGGCATGTAACTCTTCATACTCGGCTTGAGGAGGAATATCTGAAGTGGGAGGGATTCCCCAGCTACACAACCGTGGATGCCATAGTTCACCCCCTGCCACGATTGGCACAACTGGCATCGAGCCTGGGTACAAACAAACAAAGTCTTCTTCATTCATCTTAATGCTGGGTCCTTCCGAGCGTCTTGAGGCTCGAGGGAATGGCTGCAAGAAATGATCACGAGGGCTGGTTGGTCTTGCGGTACTGGGTTCAGGCGTCCTTTGGGTATTGGCTAGAATATACTGTCGAACCATCAGAGGGGAATACCAGGAGGTTTGTTGAGATATACCAAGAAGGTGAAGAATAGAGAAGGACTTTGGTGAGTAAGAAGTAGGGGTAGTCCCGTTTGGGGACGAGATGCTTTGATGATAGATCTCAATAACTTGAGATGCTGACGAGGTGGTTAATGGATAGTGTTGTGAAGAAGCTGATTATGGATATTGATATCTTCAGATGTTGTTGATGGATAGTATGTAAAGAAGGAGAGATATGGGATGCCGAAGACGAATGCGAGATGCAGGAGAGGTCGGCTGTGAGACAGAGATGGAATCAGATGGAGCCTGGATGCGTGAGACGCCAGTACCAGCGCCAGCTGGACCGTTAGTCCCTGCGTCATACGTACAAGCGAACAGTAAACGGAGTGTCCCAGTTCCACTGGCAAGTCTTAGTCTTGATTGCTGCCTGCTGCCTGCTGACATGTCTGTTCGCTCGCAGAACATTGTGGATTTCATTCATTTATGTTCAGCGCTACAGCAAGCAGAACATCGATAATATTTATTCTTCTCTTAAAGGGACTTGGTTTGAGTAGGTAGCAATGGTAAATATACAGACTCTGCCGTTAAAACTCGTCGCCGTAGTGAACAAATACGCTGCAAACATGAATAGCGTTGGACAGCAGATCCATTGCTACGACCACGGAGAATGCACCTTTTTTGCAATTTGAAGGGTAATATGAATTGATAAAGAAGCTATAATATAATGTACCATTCACTGAAGACATGCAATTGCGGATAATCCAAGTCAGTGAGCAAGGTGTTGTCCCAGATACAGCCAGGGACGAGGTTCAATGCGCGACGAACTCGTTAATGCCCAGCATGTCAATCGCTATTGTGTAGGCCTGTTGTACTTATAAATGTACCAAGATGAACAGACTACTACTATTCGCCGCATCGTGTTCCAATAGATGTCCACGTCAATTCCTTTCTTGGCATCTCCTATGACCTACAGCAATGGTGTATCTCAAAACACGCCAATTGGCTAATCACCGACAGAAAACCCGTTCTTGTTCCCAAAGATGGGTCTGACAGGCGCCAAGAGATACCGTTTCAGTTAGTCACTCTTATGCTTAAGCCCATTATAGAAAACATTGTCGTTAGTGCGGCACCGGAAACCAAACTATTGACTCGGCGGAAATTAAAGCGCTGCGATAAGCGTCACGATAAATACAGAGTAATCCCCGCTACGCGCTCCGTGATTTATTATTTCTTCACCGACCGTTTTCGCTCTTTCAGTCGCTCGTTTGACAACATGATTTCTGCAAATATTTTGCTGGCCTTTGGCCTGGTTGCTTTGGACGCAGTGGCTGCGGGTCCTTGTAAGCCTGTTACCACTTCGTGTGAGTCAACCGCTTGAGCCCCTTGATCTGACCTAACGAAGTAGAACAGTGGCCGTGAGTTCGGGTACCAGTGTTACTGTTGATTCCACCACTTTAGTTGGAAGCACCGAGACAACCGCCGTCACAGTCACCGAAACCGAGACTGGGACCGCCACGACTGCTACCTCGGATGCGACGCTGACTTCTGATCTGACGACTCTCTTGACTGCTACCAGCGACTTTACAACCTTGACCACCGAAGCAGCCACGACAACCACGGAAGAAGCTACTACCACCACCGCCGAGAGACCCGACTCAACCCAATTCAACATCTATCCCAACCAAGGCGTCGAAGCCAGCGGCCCCCTCAAAGTGCGAACTATCCCCGGCGGCTCAGTCTACTTCAACAACCCCAACGCCGACTACACCACGGGCACATTCGTCGTCAGCGGCCGCGGCAAGCTCGTCAACGGCAACCAGCTCATGTGCGCATTCTTCCGAACGGGCCAGCAGTACGGCGACATTGTTGGCTGCCCACCTTCCGACGAGTCGGATGCTCGCTACTCGCCCATTGATTGTGAGCTTGGCGCTTCGGGACAGCTTGACTGTCAGGTCCAGGGCAAGTTCTGCTACTACAGTCAGGACATGCTTACGTGTGATGCGAGGGCGGTGTATCCTTATTTCTATATTGAGAGCGCTGGGTCTTATGGGTATGGGCTTATTTTGGGACCAAATGGGCTTAATCTCACACCGGTTGAACTTGCGGCTCAGCCTGAGCCAACTGAGCCTTAGATTGGAGCATTCTATTCGTGCTTCGCTTCTCATGCTCTAGATAGAGAAGTCTTGTCAGCATTGTTTACTTCAGGTACATATCTTTAAGCAAGGCCACATAGATTCGTGGTATAAACCCTTAGCTGATCTAAACTAGTGGTTGTAAATGACAATTACATCATTTTCGTGGCACAGAGGATCGTATACAGGCTAGGCTGGCCAGCACAATTATTTCAATCGAGAAACAAGCCTTGATGAACATATCACGTATATGGCGCGATCCCATTCTTATTGCTCTGGGCTTCATACTTAGCAGGCTTATTGTGAATAAACAGTTTCCATCGGTTCGACTAAAGATCTTGACATTGACACTAATAATTGAGGTCAATATCCGACATGGGTGAGCACCGCCACGTGAGAACTTATGCCTGAAGCGGGGTCTCAATAAATACCTCGCCTCGAGAAGATGCTACTGAAATTTAAGGTTCCACAAACCGTTAAAAAATAATGGATCCAATTACGGCATTCCAAGTCGCTGGGACCGTCGTAACATTCGTCGAATTCTCCTACAATCTAATCTCTGAGACGCGCTCCATCTACAGATCTCCCGATGGTAAACCAGCCAGGGTCAATGACCTGTCTATGGTCATCAACGATTTTGCCGACATTAGTCATCGCGTCAAACAAGCCCTCGACCTTTCCAATTGTCAAGCGACGACAGCGTCTGATGAAATACTCATCAGACTATGCAACGAAAGCCAAGACATAGCTACCGACTTCCAGCGCGCATTGACATGTCTTCAGGCCAACGGCACTTCCAAAGTTGAACATGTCAAGACAAGTCTTGTCATCGCCCTCAAGGCGATTTGGTCCAAGGATAAGCTTGTAAAACTAGAACAGCGACTTCAGCAGATTCGGTCTGAGATGACCATGGCCATGCTGGTGGCCCTCTGGTGAGTAGAGATGATCGATTCTAGTCTCATAATCTTATCTTGACAGGGAAAAAGAGAGACTGCGGGGAACAAAAGACGACCAGGAATTGAATGCCAAGATTAATCAACTTTCAAAAGCTATTGATCGGAATAATGCCCAGCTCGATGATTTCTTCAAGGAGTTAGATGCCACGACTTCGAAAGATGACGCGCTAGGTCCGGCTAGGCGCCGGAGGTTATTCAGCAATCTCTGGGATGCAAATTGGACACCGTCCGACATTCATCTGAGAATTAGCCGCGAAGGCTACATGGGCAACAAAAGTCTTGACGAGAGTGTCCAGAACCAAATCATTCAAAGCTTGCATTTCCCTGGAATGGAGGCAAGGGAAAAGTCAATACCAAAGCCGTATGAGGCTACATACCGTTGGATCTACTCTAACCAAGCTGCGGCGGCAGTCAAGCGACAGAGCTTTCCCCAGTGGCTCGGAGACTATTCTAACAAGATATACTGGATCACAGGCAAACCAGGGTCAGGCAAATCGACCTTGATGAACTTTGTCATCCATAGCCCTGTTACCGAGCAGCGCCTTCAAGCTTGGGCTACGCCTACGCCTCTCCTGCGGGCGCATTTTTTCTTCTGGGAAGCTGGACAGAGCAGCCTGCAGAGGTCGCGAGAGGGTTTGCTGCAGACGCTTCTGTGGCAGTGTTTGCAGGAGAGGCCAGATTTAATCCAGCGAGTGACGCCCCGAAGATGGATGGTTCACCATGTGCTGAACGGGCTGGAGACACCTGCACCAGCTTGGTCCTGGGAAGAACTTCGAGAAGCCTTTTTCATCTTGGCATCTGAGAATAGCAGGTCATTCAAGCTGGCGCTCTTCCTAGACGGCCTGGATGAGTTTCAGGGAGAGCCGTCTGTGCTGATCCAGTTCGTTAAGGATTTGGTAACGAGCTATGGTGTCAAGATTTGCGTGGCGAGTCGACCTTGGACAGATTTCGCCGATGCTTTTGATGAGTATCCAATGCTCACGATGCAGTCCCTCACACAAAACGACATTTCAGTATATATCAAGGGTAGCTTCGAAGCTAGCAAAGCCTATCGAGAGCGACGAGTTCTATTTCCGGATCAAGCCGAGAATCTACTGCGAGACATCGCCAACAAAGCTCAGGGTGTCTTTCTCTGGGTCTTCCTTGTTGTCAGAGACTTGATCCACAGCCTTTCTAGAGGACGCAGCCTAAGCGATCTCCAAGCGATTGTTGATGATCTTCCAACCGATCTACATAAGCTGTACACCAAAATGAGAGAGAGGGTGGATCCAGAGGACATGGGGAATTCTGCTCGGTATTATCAACTTATAGTTGCTGCTCTCAGCCCATTGCATGCGGTGACGCTCTGGATGGTGGATGGAGAAAAGCTTCCAGATGGCGACACTTTTACGAATGAGATGCAGGAAAATATTAACAAGGTCTTGCAAAGACGTCTGGACAGCTCTACAAAGGGTATATTGGAACTCAACGACAACGGCATCGTGACATTTCTACACCGCACCGCACGAGACTGGGTCCTCCAGACGGCTGGTAGCGCAGGACTACAAGCTCAAGCACCGTCAGGCTTTAATCCTCATCTAGTCCTACTACAGGTACTAACCGAACAATTGGGTCACGAGAGGATCTACAGTTGCCTAGGCCAGTCGCAGCTTGCCTTTTGGACCTTTGTATTTCTCGGCTTCCTGTACGCCGTGCAAATCGACAACAGGGCATCTCAGCTCGTCCGAGCCATTGACGACTTCGACGCCGCCTTATCTAAGCGCGCTGCTAACCTCGGAAGCAAAGGCTACGTCTTCAGTTCAGATCCCACCACGGCGTCGTCGCAAAAGGCAAGCCGATGGTATTCTCTTCGGAAAGGCAAAGGTAGCGCTCATTCCAGCCATTGGTCATGCACGCAATATGGCGCAAGTGACGCAGAGAGCGGCATAGTCGGCATCGCAGCCCAATTCGCAGTGGCACCATATGTTATAGAAAAGACGAAGTAGGACGGCAATCTTGTCAGGTCTAGCCCTCGTAGAATTCCGATCCTGGAGAATGCTGTGTTTGGCTGGCAGCAGCGCAAGTACCGCACGTACGAGGACTTGGCTGAGTATACCCGCATCGCGACGACCTTGCAGGACAGGATAAGGCGGCAGAGAATTGAACTGGTCAAGGAATTGCTTGATCTAGGAGCTCAGCCGGATGAAAAGGGTCGCGGGGCTCTGACTATGGTTGAGCAGATGGATGATGATGTGAGATTGAGCATAGACTCGAGGGAGTATTGGGAGCAGATTTTGACGATGTTGCGTGGGAGAAGGAGACGAAGCCGTTTTGGCATTATAAGCTGAGATACATGGTTTAGAGGTGCTATGGGCAGTCTATATAAATACACCGAGCGCGATGGCTGCGGCAGCGACCATGCCCTTCGCCTTAGAAGCGGCGTTATCCGAGACAGTAGCTGCAGCCGCTGAAGTAGTCTGACTGGCAGCCGAGCTCTCAGTACCCGTAGCTGTAGTCGTCGCCGTTGTTGACTCTTCCTCAGCTGTAGTGACGGTCTCGGAAGTCTTCGCCTTGGTAACACTGGTAGCGTCCGTGGTGGTCGCTGAAACAGAAACAGTCTCAGAAGAAACAGGCAATTTAATTCCACAAGCAGCCTCGGCGTCGAAAGTGAAAGGAATGCCGTGAGCATCGCAATCATTTGAAGATCTCTCAATTTGTTCTTTTCTCACAGATTAATCACAGTTTGTCATTTTATAGGGAGTCATTACCTGGTAGGACGTTCTCGGCGCAGTTCTCAGCGATGCAACAGAAGAATTTCTCGCGCATGTCCTTGAGAGTGCATACACACGCTGGGTTATCGGCGTTGCACTTATTGGTGAAATACTTGAAGAAACAATTATTCTACACTATTATTAGCGCCGTTACCCTTAGGGTTAAAGAACCAACTCACGTCGCATGTAGCATCCTTGTTCTGCTTCTCCTGATCGTACTGAGCAGCTGCAAAGCTGCCCACGACGCTAAGAAGCATCAACACGTTAGATAGACGAGTCATTTTGTCGACACTGGTATTCCGCGGGCAATTGTCAGAGCGAATATCGCGGTTTTAAGTACGGCATTGACGCCCCTGATAGAACTCAGCGGGTACAGACGCTGATTGGTTGAAGAATGGGTCTGGAAATTAATAAACAGGGGACGATAAAACCCAGCGAATGAGAGTCACGAATTGAAGCTTAGCTCCTCTGTGCCTTCGCCGAAGGATTCATCGTTTATTTTGGGACCCAAACGGCCAATGAAACGCGAGATTGGCTGGCCAAGACTGTTTGTTTGAGAGCCGATTAGCCGTTTTGAACCATGTAAATATCATCTGTCTCGTATTGGCGTCTTCATCTTCGCGCTATGAGTACTCAGTGAAGAGTCATGAAGTAGCTTAGCTAGGCTCGTATTAAACGGTACCCAGTAAGCGTCCATGAACAGCCAGCATCACTAGCGATAATGTCCAGCAGGTCTGACGTGACGTTGCATTTGCGAACAGCATAACTTGAATTGTATTGACAGAACAAGAACTGAGATATTGACTAGAAGTCTTGATAGGAGCCCACGACGGAACAGCGTGTCGATCCAGTTCTGAAAGCTGTATGTGAACCTGATCTTGTGCAACTTCTTCCTACAGTAAATCATATCGCCAAAGGCTGACCTCCAATGATCTCGGTAATCGCGACGATTATATCACCCGGAACATATTCGACTTGACGCCTCTCTTCAATCCCTCCGCCCTACCATTCTCATATTCGACTCCCGCACCTCCTCCATCACCAGACATACCCTCCAGCTTCTCCCTCAGTTCTTGGTCTAGTTCTGCACTCGTCTTTTTCCGAGGCGCTGTTGACGCTTCTTTGCTTGACGCATCTGTCGTTCTTGGTTGAGCTTGACTTGGCTGAGGTTTCGCAGCGTTAGGTGCGTTTGGCAAACCGCGCGGGCGGGTTGTGTGAAATGCTCTTCTGGTCGCATTTGCTCGGAGGCTTGGTGTCATTAGAGCGCGCTTCATTTTCTGATGTTTTGGTGATGAGAAAACGAAGGTTGAAAGTCTGGCCACCAAGTCTCATGATGGGTTTTGTGATGACTAAGACAATACGTCATTGGTTGGAATTGACGGCATAATGCAGTCATTCAATGTCGTCCATATAACTTCAGACAATGTGAAAACGTCCTCTATAAGAGCATGTTCTGGTCATTTTAAAATTCAATCCTTTTTCTTTTCCATCTCGAGATACACTGTTGACCAATTCGCCCTCACTCTTCGTTATTTGCCTTGTCTCAATCTTCATACATAACCGCGATGACCTCTAAGAAATCTTCAACAACCATCCATCAGCCTCAGTCTCCCCCTTCGCATTAACACCTCCCCACATCAAAACCCCCTTCCCATCCAAGCACCCATCAGCCCCAAAGAACCCCCTCGGTCCCGGGTGCACCTTGCCTGCCTCCTGCGTCATCTCAGCCGGCGCAATCTCAAGTTCATGCCAACTAAACGCTCCCGACTGAACACCCGGGATCGTTTCGCGAATAGCATCCTTGACCCGTGTAGCACTGTAATCATCAGAGGGGAGTTGAAGGGTCCACATGTCGGAGTAGAACGGGTGTTCGTCGGTGTAGGCTTTATCACTAGAAATCGATGCGTCTTGGCGGCTGCCGAGGAGGTAGAGCAAGTAGCGACGCCCGTGGCCGGTAGTTACGGGGATTAAAGCGCTGCCAACGCGAGGGCGTGGTCCGGGGACGAGAGGGTTGGAAGGGAATTCGACGGTTGTCCACTCTGGAAGCGCGTCGAGAGATTCATCCTGGATTGTACCAGTCTTGATATAGTGCACCGACCCATGGACATCCGACTCAGCACTAATAGCGTACAGCGTTCCCTCAACAAACTGCGCCGCCAAAGGCTCAGCAGGAGCATCTGGCAGAGGATGCCAAAGACGCGTCGTAAAGTCAAATAACCACGTTGTCTTAGTCCGTTGCCCATTCTCATACCCCCCATGAAGAACAAGATTATCCTTCTTGGCATCGTAGAAGATCTGATGTCCGTAGCGCGATTTGGGCCCTTTTCCAGCAGCGGTTATAGAAGACCATCGTGCGGCTTTGGGCTCCCATTCCCAGAGGGTGAATTCATCGTCGACGGATTCGTCATCGCTGTTTTGGCCGCCGTGAATGATAAGCGTGTCGCGGCGCGTGCAGGAGGCATGGTTGATGCGTGGGGAGGGGATTTGGCCTTCGTCGCCTACGGCTGGGTAGCAAGCGTATTCGCCTTCGCCTTGGTGATCGCCGATGGATACAGCGTGGATGTCGTTGTTGCACAGTTTACCGTCATCTTTCTTGCCGCCAAAGATGTACGCTTTTCCATCGATGACACTGACACTGTGATGAGATCTTGCAAGGGACAGTCTACTCTCGTTAGCCTCATTCATAGCCACGACGCGAGTGACATACGAGTTATCCTCCTTCGGGGTTGTAGCGATTTGGCTCAAGACTGCAGTGAGCGGCTGCGTGGGACGAGCTACGGTCGCTGCGGCGCCGACTTCAAGGCCGGTTGAGACGACTTGCTCGACTGCGATGACACCTGCTGCTATTTCTGCCATTGTGGATGATGATTTGGTGAGATTGTGTTGCTGAGAAGGATTGAGATATACGAGGCTGAAAGATGACGGAGAGACATGACGTATGACGGATGCGGGCCATGACGTAATTTGACGAGGGCTGGAATGTGCAATCGTCGGAATGCTATTGATTGTGCTTTTTATGATAACTCAATATTCACTGATAATTTAAGAGGCTACAAATGAGAAATTCATCGATGGTTCTGGTATTATTGTCTATGGGGAGATGCAATGCGAATCTGCAATTGATATCTCACGACCTAATGGTATCGCTTACTATTCTTACATCAGAACCAATTCTCATGTCGCATCTAAGACGTGAGACTCAAAAAATCACATTGTGCTCGTCAGTGACATATGGAAGCGTGAAGATTCAGTATGGAATGATATCAGAGTCTAATAGCGAAAACGGCAGCGAGCCAATCGTAGACTTTATCAATCTCCGGAAATAAACGGGCGTATGTCAATCCGTCGCGTGTCCATTCAAGCCTCAGCGATCAACGCGCTAACAGAAACGCGCCACCAACTCATGATGACATGATGCTGAAGACGCAACAGTTATGCAGGATCACACAGTAAAAGTCACGCTGAAGTCGGGACGTAAAATGAGTAAATGTACGTGCTAAGAGCACTAGAATTAATATGTACACTAAAAGTTATCGGTCATCAACTCTATCTCAATCTATAGTCTAATGTCTATAAATCATTCCGTCATGCGCTTATTTGCTGCGACGTTCCCACTCGTAAATAGCCATCATGAAAGGTCCCATACCGCGAGTATCGTTAGGAACAACAGGAACCTCAGTGTAATACTATAAAAAAGTCAGCCAAATCCACGAAATCATGAGACAAACTTACTTCGAAGGAAGCATCACTGTTCAGCGATCCAACCTCGACGGTTCCCTCCCAGGTAATGGTTCCATTGTTGTTCTTGGTCACAAAGTCCCGGATGAGGCGCTTGTAAGCCTGCTTAGCGGGCTTGGTGTACGTCTTCTCATCGAGAAGTCCGCGTCGAAGACCAGCCAACCAGCCGTAGGTGAACATGGCGGAGGCGGAGCTCTCGATGTAGTTACCCTCAACACCCTCGTACTCCTTGTTCATGACGAGTTCCCAGAGGTGAGACTCGGGGCCTTGGGCGCGGAGGAGAGCGGAGGAGAGATCCTTGTAGTAAGTGACGAGGCGCTTGTAGCCGGGGTGAGATTTGGGGAAGACGTCGAGGACTTCGATGAGCGACCAGATGTACCAGCCGACGGCGCGGGACCAAACGATAGGGGAGGCGCCGGTCTCGGGGTCAGCCCAGACGGCGGTCTTGCTCTCGTCGAAGCCGTGGACGGGAAGACCGGTTTCCTTGTCGATGGTGACTTCCTGGATCTTATCCCACTGAAGGACAATATCATCCCAGGCCGTGGTGTTCTTGGCGTCGAACTCAGCAGTCCACTCGGCGTAGAAGCTATCGCACATGAAGATGCCATCCAGCCACATCTGATCCGGGTACGTCGGCGAGCGATGCCAGAACCCACCAGTAGGCGTCCTAGGATGCTGGTTGATTCTATCACGGATGAAATCCGCAGCGACCTTGTACTTCTCCTCGCCGGTCTGCTTGTACCAGTACAGCAAGTTCAAGCCGATGCGGTAGTTGTCAAGCGAGTACTTTGTCAAGTCATAGTTGATGATGGTGCCGTTGGGGTACACCACATCGTCCATCTGGTCGCGGTACCATGCGAGCAGGGTCTTGTTCTTGGTCAGCTCGATGGTGGCTTCGATGCCCTCGTAGACGACCGCGCGGCCGTACCAGTATGCGCGCTGGGTCTCGCGGTTGTTGCGGATCCATGAGTCGGCGGTCGTGGCGAGGAGGTTGTTTGCGAGGACGAGGTTGGCCGAGGCCACGGTGAGGAGTGTCTGGAACTTCATGGCGAGCGATGAGATTGTCGAAGTCGATACCGATTCAATTACCTGGGCGTTGAGCTAGGTATTTAAACAACGTTGCAACATTCGATGCGATCCACTGTCATTTTGGAAAGGGAATTTTGTCCGTGTTCTAGCAGATGCTCTAACCAATAAGCTTAATTCTTTAACCTCGAGCTTATCCATTATCTTTTTTTGGAAGACGGACGTTCCATATTGATTAGGTCAATTACCGTGCACGGTTACATCCACCGCGGATTATCCCGGCGGACCGTTATTCTCCGCCAACCGGACACGATGGGATGAACGATCAGCGAAGTCAAGATGTTTGCCCGTTGGCTTTTCGTCCGAACTGTTCATTTGTGCTGGGCCGAATTGGGAAGTATTGACGGTTCACCGTTGGGGAGATTGATAGCCGCATATACGAATGAGCTTGGCGCGATGACAGTCTTGAGCGATTATCCACCTATCGGACGGTCATTTTAGAGTATTAAGCTTGTCTTTTGGTTTGTTTTAATTACGCTTGAGTCTGCTGAGCCTCTTGATGGTGCAATCCCCCACGATTGCCCCCAATGTCTGCAAGTGCCGCGATTGAGCCCACGTCGGGTTACGCGTCGTGGATGGCGTAATGTTCCTGCATCTACACTACCCAATTTTTCGGAGGAGAAATCCTGTAGACTAAAAGCAGTTCAATGAAGGTGAGTGCCTCTTTCAAGAATGGTCCACGAGCATCAACATTCCGAATTGCTGTCGATCGCGAAAAGTAGCGAAAGATAGCGAGCGTAAGCAGGATGAAGAGGCCCCCACGAACATTTGGGGTGATCCACTAAAAGCTCATGCCTCCATGCTTATTGGATGTGAGCTCTATGTCATTGTTTCTGGTCACATACTGCACAAGGTGAACAACAGAAACACAGAGAGAAAAGCTTGGGTACGGAAGGACCTAAATGGGAGTCTAGTAGTTTATTCAAAACAATGGGGAAAGTTGAGGATGCAAAATACAGAGGTTGTAGCTACGGTACGCTGAACATAAAATACAAGCAGTCGATATGCGTTGACTTGTCCTAATACTGTTGGCGGATAACAGCATAAACCTGTTGCCTTATCAAGCTAGACTCAATATACCGCTGACTTTTATATGTATTTCTTACTTGCTACTGGCTTTCCGAATGGGCCAGCACGCAAATACTAAGTCACAGTTCTCTAAGTCCCGGGTAGCTGAAGCTGGTCGATATCCAGAGATTTCCGATAAGCCTTATCTTATCAATGTCCGAAGATAAGAATAAAGAAGAAATAAACTGAAGGGAATAAGTCATAATAAGGGCTGCAGCTTATATACAATAGCCCTTTTGAGAACAAGATGAAGAAGGAGGACCTTCGATTTCAACATATATGACCATGAGATCTTAACTAGAGCAAATGCTGATCCGCCATGATACCAGGATCGACTCTTCCCGAGCCTTCAACGTATTAACTGAACCTAACTCTTTACTCTGGCTTTCTTCCCCAGATGAAGTAAACAGGAAGATAAAGGTGGATATTCGGGTCAGAAAGATCCTTCTTCACCTTAGCCATGAACACCTGAATCTCCTCATCACTCCACCCAAGAACACGTGAGAAGATACCAGGCGTATAAGACGTAATGACCTGCGCTTCCTGCACTGACTGAAACTTGCCAATCTCTTTAAGCTTCGGATCCCTAGGCCAAGATCCAATGGGAACCTATTTTGCCATCAGTAAGCATCTGGCAAATAACGAAAGCACTTACCTTGAGGATCTTTTGCTCAACATCCACAAACCCAGCATCCTCCATCTCCTTCTTCCACTCCGGCGCAACATTCAACGGCTTCCCAAACTTCGCAGACCCCTCAACCATAGTCTTCATCCAAAGCAGCGCATTTTTCGCCATATATTTCGTGTTATCGTCAGATTTGAACTCAGAGTGCACAGCCTGCATTTCGAGATATCCACCAGGCGCGAGACTCTGCAGAGCGCGGGTGAAGAATTGAGCGTTGTTGCTGATGCAGCCTTCTAGTTCACGTGCGTGTATAAAGTCGAAGGGTTGGCGGAAGAGCCAGTCTGATTCGAAGTCATCGACTTCGAAGAGGCAGTTTGGTGGGGTCCTGGGCATGTTAGAAGAGTGATGTGGAGGGAGGAAGGATTTACCATGGGGGTTGGATTGGGCTTAGATCGGTGCCGAGGACTTCGGCTTCGGGATACTCGCTGGGAATTGTTAGATAAGGTTTGTGAGGGATGAGGGGATGCGTACTCGGCGAAATCCATGGCCCATATTCCTGTTCCCGTGCCGAGGTCAAGAACTCGCTTGACTTTATCGCCGATAGGCGCGAGGAAAAGATCGCCACCGAGGACAAGACGGTAGATATGATGGCCCAAATCCATTCTATCTTGTTCTTCGTCATCGTTGGGCTTACGACTGTTAGTATCAGCTTTCGTGGTGGCGTCTCAACATACAACTAGGTATGCGCCTTCGCGGAACGCATGATATCGTCGTCCATTCTAAATCCGTCAGCCAAGACAATTGTCTGAGCAGTCCTTTAAAGCCATACTTCGTATCTGTAGGTAAACGGTTAGATGAGAAGGTATCCATGTAAGGGTACATACTTGTAGTTCAGGACGCTGGAGTTGAGGGAAGTCAGATAACTTCCTGACTCAAGACTAGACAATAAATCAGCGGGTATCCATCAGACAATACGAAGCCACGTACGAAGCAGCCAATGCAGAATCATGGCTCAAAGACGCAGCATCCTAGCAAAATCAGCAAGCAGTCACTATTTAGAACCTTTCATCTGAAAGCATACATCTGCTTGAAGAGGGCCTTCGTGTTCATTCGCTGCTTGCGCCATTTTTATGCCACTTCAAAAGTCGATTCAATTGAATGTGCGATAATGTGTTTTTCGGGCGCTGTTTTGGTCAGATCATTGCGTGGCCGGCGACCAACACAGGGTTGTACTGGATGCCATATTCGGAAACTGTTCGTAACCAGAGCGGGGGCTGGTCTTGAATGGCCTGCGAGACAACGCCGTAAGACAGATGTAAGACTGAGACGTAAAATAAAGAATGGTTCGTTTTTACGAATGGAATTAATTTATTGACTCAAGCTATCGACTCCTGGCAAAAAGATTCAGAAACAGTTGACTTTGCGCATCATCATGCTGCCCGGCCCAGCCGAACCGAAATTGTCAGTATTTGCCGTACGACAACAGCACAGCACCGTTGCGATGAGGAGGCGCAGGAAGCGAGCTCATGTCGACTTTGAAACCATTAGGCATTGCCTCGCACTTGTATGACAAGCCGCTCATTAGCCCATCAAAAAAGAATTGAGATTCGACAGGCGATGCCTCTGTCCGATGTCTCAGCACCTCTGCCAGCTTGATCTTCCTGCCTTGTTCAGCCCACGAAAATGGCGACCCTAAAGCAAGCTCGATACCCAATTTCGCTGCTGCAACACTGCTGATTGAAGCCTGACGAAGGATCCTGTTCTGGATCTCAATGGGAAGGTGGTTGAGCCGACAAGGCCTAGGTTCTGCTTGATGAAGGTCTGATGCCCAGAGAAGCAGGTCGATAGCGGAATCAGAGGGAGGAGTGTCGCTGAAAAGTGGCTCGGGTCTTGTGCATACCAGTTCGCCATCGTAAACCTTGCAGCAGGCTATTTGTCTGAGAGTCAATATTGCGTACGTCGCAGTACCAGTCATCGTCGTGCGGGTTTCAACATGCTCTCGTATCATCTTTATTCCCTTGGGAATATCTCGTGCTAGGAAGATCCAGCATGTACCGACTCGCACGATCGTTTCACCTGGGGCATCCCATGGTGGCAAGTCTGCCACTCCGACATACGGCCCGCCGCGGCCACCAACGTGCTCGAATCCCGTACGTTCCAATATGGTGAAATCCAGATTTAGAATCCATATAATAGCGTATGCCAGCTTTGTAAATGTGATGTTGTTCATTTCTGCCCGTAAGACGTGGCGCCATGTATGACCAAAGTTGCGGAGAATCCGACCAAGAAATGCCTTTTTCCGATGATCAACTTTGGGTTGAAGGTCCCAGTACGGCCCTGGTAAAGCTTCCTCCTTTGTGATTGTTTCAGTTGGCGATTTCAGTATCTCAAAGTCGTCTAAAGTAAGTATTCTCTCTCTTGCTAGGCGCAGAGGGACAAAGCAAAGCCAGTCATGCTTCGTGAGAAAGAGAACATCCTTATCGAGGTCGAATGTCCAAAGACTATTAAAAGCCCGGCCTCTTTTGTCGCTGAAAGGATTTACAAAATCGTAGACATCCTCCCATTCGAGTTCGATACCTTTCTCTAGCGCTCTTGAGATTTCATCTTCGATTGAGTTAGAGAATGCCAGCGTGAAGAGTTGGTTTGACGGACCTGAGCAATTGTCGCGGCCAATGAGAATGCGAGAAAATAACTCGAGGAACGCGACATCAGCTGCATTGAGCCTTTTTGACAAGCACCGGCGGAGGGCGTTCCCTGGAGATCAAAATTAGTCCATTATCTCGTAGGCTAAAGTACAAAATGAACCTCTTAATACGTAGATAAGTACAAACAGGACCGACATCGTGATGCGATGGTGTAAGAGTGAGAATTGGCTGGTCCATTTTCGCAAATCCTTGGAGGGAATGGCAGGGCTAAGTATGCACGAGCCACGAGAGCATGTATCTATCGCCATGCAGGCCGAATACCTGGAGCTGCCTTCTATCGCAGTGTCTAGATATATAGTCTCTGCGTTTTTACCTTTTCTCATTCTGTAAGCCGCATTGATTTTAATAATATTGTTTGAAAGATTCTGTATTCCGTGATCCACTCTGCAAAATTAAGGATGCGGCACGGACTTGGTCGCGTGAAGAGACGCGTTGTTTCACCTTGCTGACATTCTTATCCTCATCCTCATCCTCACCCCTCAGACGCCATGACTCTCCATGGAAAAGTCCTAGGCGCAGACGCGACAGCGACAACATACCTTCTAAACTGTCCACCCGACGCGGAAAATTGTGAACGCAGCGGTCAAACAATCACGTTAGGTCCTTGGGCCGAGAAAACACTCGCATCAAGCGTAGACCCAACAGGAGCTATGGACGTAGTCATCACCGAGCCACAAGACGGTACAAAGTGGTTTTACTCGCTTCACTGTGAGATGAGCAGATCTGTCGCGCAGGACTGCACTATGATCAATAGGCCGGCTGATGGCCCCTCGACGATTGGACCGAAGACGTACAGGGGAGAGTCGGCTTTGAGAGAGATTTATGGCCCGACGTTTGAGTATGGGAGGGTTACGCTGACTGCTGGGTTAGAGAAGTTGAAGAGTGAGTATCCGAGTACTACTACGGCTGAGGGCACGGAGTCTTCTAAGGAAACGGATAGTTCTACAGCGACAGCGGGGGCTAATGCACCGGCTGAGTCAAATGGAGGCTTGAAAGGCGTGAAGCTTCCTTTGGCTACTGTATGCGCTGGACTGGTTGCTACACTGACATTGACGCTCTGAGCATCTGCTATTCCTCATGGAAAGCAGACGAGATGCGTAATACGTGAGAGAGCTGTGCTAGATATTTAGAAACCTCGAACTATTGAACAAGGAGATATGGTCACTGATCACCACTCTGTAGAAGGCGATGTTCATGAAGAGCAGGAATAGCGTACCATTCAACCCATTCAGTACATTTCCAAAGCGGCTTGCGTTCTTCCCCATGAGCATAGAAAACATATTCGTAGTCCCCAATTTTCTCCTTGAAAGGTTCAACGCGGCCCTGCTTCCTCGGATTCGAAGCCTTTTGCTGCGGCGGTGTCGGCAGTGAAGCGAGAACTGAACTCCACTGTTCCGGATGCACGTCGGAGGAGGTATAGCCCAGCAATTCCTTACAATGGTAACCCTCCAATTGCGCAGGATCAGGCGACTCTCTACTCTCATAGCTCATCCCGTTTGCTGACGTGACGTCGCCGGTGACATGGTACAGAGTGCCAGAGCCGTCTTTGCTGGTCTCCACGAATATGGCATGATGGAAGCGACCGGGCGGCATGTGCGGATCTGGGAGGGCCATATGCGATTTGACTTTGTAGACTGGGTAGTTATCGGAAGTCATGATGGCAGCGGTGAGAAGATGATGTCATGTCTCGTTGGTCACGGTTGCGAAGATCAGGCATCGGGGTTCCGCGGCACGGACCAACGAGTCTAGCCTTTCCAAAGGACGGACCGCCGCGTTCTGTATCACGAAACCACCGAGGCGTGCGTCTGGTGCAACGGGTCTCAACTTTCTCGTTATGTTTCAATTAACTTAAAGTAAATAGCATAAAACACTATTTGACGTTTCGTACCAGCTTTTGGGTGCCGTTAGACGAGTTATGGCCTCACCGTCCTCGGGGGCTGGTAAGGCCGCGGTGTTTGCATGTCCAGAATTGAGCTTGACATATAATTACGGAACAAGGAAAGACAAATCTCTGTTGAATGAAAGCATTTTAATATTGGAGAGACAGCCCTGTACGCCGTACACAAGTTGGCTGTGTATATACGCGTTTCTGATCATGGGTCATTTAAAAAATCCATGCGCTCAAGATGTCATCGCCTTCTGAATAACTGCAAGTTCTTTTTGCAGCGGAGGTGAAGAATTAGAATGAACACATGTAATCCCTTCTAGGCACTCCATCTTGCAGGCGGTATCAAAGTGGAAGCCTCTCCGTAATGATTCTAGATACTTCAGTCACGATATTCAAATAGAGGAACGATCACAGAGTCAGAGGAAGAGTCAAAGGTCTACGAATGGCGACTCATTAACATACGGAAAGTACGGCTCAGAAATTATCATAGACTGGTAGTCAAGAGACTGGCATTCATGAGATCTATCGTCGGTCACCGCCTGCGAAACCTTATGAGAAGATGCTCTCGTCAGGATGCATCGGCGCTACAACCTAACATTTTGCTTCTGACATTCACAAGATCTACGATTTACTGATCGACCAAAGATCCATTGTTATGTAATATCCCGAAGACTCATTCATCCGCGATGCACGGATTTCTCGGCCTCCGGATATGACTCCTTGGTGTTGAGGCGCATTGCATTCGGCATTCCCGAAAACCCATTTTAGTGGAGTCGAGGCTGTGTACCGCCCATCTCCCGGAAAAGCGGCTCATGGGATTCACGATTAGCGAGGCCAAGACGAAGCTTGTAACACGACATGATAGGGCTACTTACGTGGTGATACATGTGATTGGGACTTTGGTTCAGTACCACCGTGGTGGGTTGTAATGCCAAGATGATAGAAGGTCAGAGAGTTCTGGGCTGCTGGTGACTGAAGACGGGAGATGCTACTGCCAAGGCCGAGTTATCCTGAAGATCTCATAAGGTGTTATTCGGCATTCGAGGAAAAAGTTCCGTTGCTATATTTTGAGGGGTTTGCTCCGGTGAGTGCTGGACAGCCCTGGACCCCCTAACAAGGGCGACGTAAGCTGCCGTTTACAAATTCAGGCTAATGGACAACCTCCTGAACAGAGGAACGAGGAATACTCGCTGAGCTCTTTTCAATTGGCTTATTTCACTCTGGGAATATCAACGTTTCGCATTCCCGCGAGCTGTAGTCCGCGGAGCGCACGTGCTCCGCCACGAAACAAAACACCCGAATGTCTTTGTTTCTCAGAGCTATCCTGGGCTTGGTCTAGCGACTGAACTCAAAAAGCATAACTTGGGGCTTTGACGCTGATTACCAAAGGTTACAAAGCTGAAGTGGGCCCGGCTGTAGATATCTTATACGAGATAGCGTTTATGGTTGTCTATAGGCTTTTACATACGCTTAAACAAGATCAAATCGATGAGAATAACTGTCGCAGATAGTTTTGAGAGCTTCAAGTATGGGGAATGCAGCGTTGCAACAGTTCCGAGCCAAGCGTTCCGAGTTCCGGAGTGGTTCCGAAAGTGCGGAACTGGCGAGCAGATCATGATACTCCCCTGATTCTTGGCAGTATCAGCCCTTAAACGACCTCGACGACTGTTTCGTCAATCACTGCAGTATCATAATGTTTTACAATGGTCCCGCTAGTCACATATCATCCTCATCACGGATGTGTTTCCCAAACAGGCTCGCCGTGAAGCGATGCCTCATGTTACAGCGTGATTCCAGCATCAAATTACAATTGGGATGTTCTCGAACCTGCAAAGCCCCTGGGAGCCGCGTAATTCATCTCGATCTCTGCCTCTCTAATTCAGCCTTATCGGCACTCAAAAGCCGAAAACGTGCATGCCAAGATGCTCCGTTTCAGGTGAATTGGGAGGCACTGCCAAACATGCATGCTTCTTGCAGGCTGTCGCAGTGAAAGTTGATCTGAGGCTTACGCAGTTTCTATCAAGACTGACTTCTCCCGGTATGACACAGACAGTTCCAGATGCTTTGAGGCCCACGTTTCAGCCGAGCTTTGGGGCGTGATTGGCTGCGTCGTAAAAGCAGGGATCAAGACCCTGCTAGCGTTGAGCTGCGCCTCTTGGCGGTGGAGACTGCGACATGTTGATATTTCCCCGTACGAAGGGCACCATCCAACGGCATCAAAATTCTCTCGCTTTCCCTGCCTTTGCTTTGCTTTTCAGACCAAGCTTTCTCGTAACAATCAAGGCAAAGGAACAAATCATGACTACGTCCACGAACCAGCTCGTAATCCTGCCCAAGAAGGTCAAATGGCAGCGCGCCTCCAGACCCAAAGTCCGCACTGGCTGCTTAACCTGGTATGTCGCCCTGTGCCGTATGCTTAATTAACGAATCAGAGACTAATATACATATAGCAAGTACGTATTTCTGTTTTGATTGGGTGCTTGGTCGCTTCTAATCACTGTATTATTGCAGAGTCAGGCACTTGAAGTGCGATGAGGAGAAGCCGACGTGTCGCCGCTGTCGCGATGGCCGTGTTAAATGCGACGGCTACGCCACGCCTAACAAGAACCAGATCCAGCAGCGCGCTTCAATGCCCGTTGCTGGATATACCGTCTCGTCTCTCAACCCTCGTATAGCCGAGACCTCCATTGAGAACTGCTATTTTCACCACTTTCACCACTGGACCTCCACCCAGCTCACCTGCGCTCCCGGCTCATCAAACTTTTACATCAACTATGTCCTCCCTCTCGCGCATTCGTGCGAACCCATTAGACACGCCATCATCGCTGTTGGTGCTGCGCATAGGTTCTACATGGCGGGCCAAGAGACGTGCTCTCCGCTGCAGCAGCTGAAAAGCTTAGCTATGCAGCAGTACAACAAGTCCATCCAGCGGATAATACCCCACATGTCCATGGAGTCTGCCTTCGATCTGCAGTGTACCCTCGTATGCTGTTTGTTATTTGTCGCGTTTGAGGGCATCACTGGTCGGTATGCAGAGTCGATCCGACATATCCGCGCCGGAACGAAACTGCTCTCGTCGCCTCTTCTGATCAACAGTGCGACGAAGGAACAAAAGATGACGAGGAAGCTCACAGAGGTCTTTGCGAACCTTGGCGTTGAGGCTTCGATGTTTCTGGAGGACACCATCATCCCGGATATCAACTCTGGCTGTCTTGATGTTCTGCAGTGCGGCGATACCTCGGACCAGCCATTCCAGGACCTCGACGAAGCAGCGAGTTACCTGCGCAGACTCGACGTCGAGACCGTCGAGATCATCGCGCAGACACCATATGCATGCTCGATGAACGACGACGGCCAGATCGGCATGTTTACCCTCGACGCGGCCCAGAAGGAGGAACTCGAGGCGAAATGGGCCGAGATGGACGCCAAGTTCGAAGTCTGGAACTCGCGGTTCGAACTGACAAAGAAACACATCGCGACGTGGGAGTACCAGGACCTAGCATCCCCACAACTCACATACCTCAACATGCAGCAAACCTTCTGGCGAATGGGCATGTCGTGCGGTCCCGAAGACCTCTCGGAACCAACCCCCGACGCAGCCGAGGCATTCCTCAACGCCGCCGAGATCTTCGCCCAGCGGCTGATAACACCGGGCCAACCGAGCTTCTCCCTCGACGGCGACCTGGTCTCTGGTCTCTCGGTGGTGGTATGGTCGTGCACTGAGGGGCCACACCGGGAAAGGGCGCTGGATCTGCTGCGAAGGTTGAATAGGCGCGAGGGTATCTGGGATAGCAAGGAGATTGTGCAGATGCACGAGGCTGCGCTGGCGATGGACGACCCGAAGTTGTGGTATAACATGGAGATTCCGGGTGGAGTGCCCGGGTTTGTTGCTGAGCTGGCTAAGATTTCGCCGAGGTTTGGGTTGCATCGCTCGGGGCTGTTGATACCGGATTTTGAGTGTATTTAGGTTTGGCAGGTTTTGGTGGGCGATTGATGAGGACTGATGGGTTTTGGTAATATCCCTTGCGCGCGATAGTCATGGCTCGAATAAAAATTAAAATAATCACTAAGTCACTTGCAGAATTGATGAGTCTGGCTGTGAGAAATTAATTTGTTGTGATGCCTATCTTTCGATCCGGTGTCATCTTTGTCAGATCAGACCACTACGTCATT